GGGGGGGGAGGGCGTGTTGGAGAGAAGTGTCACATCTTGTTCATTCCCAACCCTTCTCCTCCACCCCTTCCCAGAGAACTTGCTGGCGCCTGTGAAGGGGGTGCTGTTAGGCACCTCCAGCCCTGGATGATTGCTGGAGTAACTACCAACGCCTCTCACTGAAACATCATGAAGTTGCTTGGAAAGCCTAGGAACCGGACAGCTGCCATCCTGCCTCTGTGCTTGCTCTTTTTGAAGATCCTGCAACCAGGGCACAGCCACCTTTACAACAACCGCTACGCTGGGTAAGTGGGGGACCTTTTCAGAACGTCTCGGCTTTTATTTGAAGGAAGGGACTGGCTTGCTCCTGAATGTGTCTCCCCTTTTCTGCTCTGTGGTCTCGGCGTGACGCTGCACACGCTCCTGGTCAGTTGAATGAAATTGACACACGGTCCTGCTCCGCTTCTCGGACGTGGCTCACAGGGATATGCAGTGGGTGCACATCTGCCTGTGTCGACGTTTTAGATGGATGGTGTGTCAACCTCAGCTGTGGATCGGATGTTGAATGGCAGGCTCTCTCTGGAGTTGTTGTGGGCAGTCTTTGCAGCATTCCTTTGCCTTGGTAGATGAGCAGCTTCAAGGATTCTGTTGTACCGTGCAGATGATATGAAAGAACTGCAACGTAGCTCTGTGTAAACTTTACTGAAGTGACCTGAAAACCAAATCTCTTTTTGAATTATAATGCATGAGCAGTGGGCTGGAATCCACCAATGATTAATTTCAGGGCGGGTGTGTGTGTGTGTGTGTGTGTGTGTGTGTGTGTGTGTGTGTGTGAGATTAAAGTGCTTGTTAGTCTGTCGAATAGTTGTTAGAAAGGTTTTTCAGACCTGAGAAATACTGATGATTCAACTCAAAATAAACAAAATGCAAGTAACCAACGCTAAAATCGTAAGTTTCTTTCCAAAGGAGAAACACAGAAGGGAAAAGAGAATGCCTTCTCTCCCCTCGGTTAGTTAGCATGCGCTGTGAGTGCCTTTCATGGGACACTCGGGCCGAGTATGAGGCTTGTGCTACTAGCACACTGAAGGCTTGCTCAGGTCTACACAGCTTGTAGTCTGGGAGGAGTTGCAGGGGGTCACTCTGTGAAGCTGGAAATGATGGCCTGCTTGCATTGTAGACCTGGAAAAACCTTAACCATTTCCTCTGATTCAATCTCTCCTTTTAATGAAGGACAGCCAGGATTTTCAGTCTTTTTAAATAGTCTACTATTATCCAATCATTACCAGTGGAGGGACATTTTCATATTGATTGGAATTATGACCAAGATACGTTCAGTGCCTTAAAATAAAGTTGTTCTTTCTAAAAATAGGGTAGAGACCATTGGTGTGACCCGCTGCTTTCTCTTTTAAAGAATAGAGGTACTGTCCGTAGGACTTCCTTAGAGGCTCAGCCTCCAGAGCAACATGGAAGAGCATTTGGTCAGTCTTAGGGGATGCTCAACAGAGGCGGAGGTGATGCCACAAGCAGGGGCAATAGATGGTGGTGTGATGCTAAATTTTCTCACCCTGGCGTTCCCAGGAGCACCAGGAGGAGGTGGCTATGTGAAGGCTGCCGTTTGGCCTCAGTCACACAGGGGATGGGCTTTACAGTCAGATGTCTTGCCACCCCCTGGAGATCTCCGTCGGGAAGCCGGTGTTTAGTGGCTGCTGACACTGGTTAAGGTTGTGGAAGGCTTTGTTCTCATTCTCCTCCCGGATGTCAGGTTCCATGATCAACATGCATTCACAGATTGACATGCTTCCCAGTGACATAAGACCTCACTCCGCCATCCAGCTGCTGCTCAGTCCATAATTATTTCTGTGTGGGGTGCTCCTTGATTATAAGTTGCCAGGACTGCTTCAGCTGAGCAGGTGTGAGCCACTTCCTAAGGCACCACTTAACAGATGAAATGAGTCCAACAGATACCTTTGTTCCTACAGAATTTACAGCCACTGGAACCTCTCTAGGGAGCTTTGGTGGCACAGTAGGTAAAGTGCTCAATTGCTAGCCAGAAGGTTAGTGGTTCAAACCAACCAGCCACTCAATGACCAAAAGATGTTGGAGACGGCTTCCCTGAAGATTTGTAATCTTGGAAACTCTATGTGCACTTTTATTTGGTCATCTTATAGGGTTGCTGTGAGCCTGAAAGGATTAGGATGGATTTGGATGGGACTTCTTTGGATGGGACTTACATTACCTCACCTTCTCTATTGTGCACCAAAAGTAATAATTGCCATTTTCTCATTGACTGCTGCATAATAAGTTAGTTTCAAAGGTATAAATGATCAGATGTCTGAAAGTCAGAAGAAGAAAGGAGGGGAAAATGAAGAAGCAATGACAAGCTGGCGAGGGGAGTATTGCTTGTGTGACACGGTGAGAGCATGGAACTCCTTTAAAGTCAGCCCTGCTGTTCTGAGCGCACTCATCAAAACTGGAGAATTCTAATTTATCTCCATCAGATATGCACCCCCTCTCTCCTAGGAACACAGAAGTGCTGCTCAGGTCTGGGAGTACTTGGCTCTATTTACTCAGGAACTACTTCCTTTAAGTCTAGCTTTCCAACCAGCCAAAATCTTGTGGGAAGACATATTTGTATATTATTCAGCTGTTTGTTTCACTGATTTTGCCCCTCTAAATTTATCATTCGAAACCCCCTCGTTTTTATGCCTTAAGTAATTCGTTCTGTTTTGTTGTTCTCAATGATGGAGCAGACCCAGTTCTGACAATTTTATGAAAGCATTTTTGTATGCCTTAGTGCCATCTAATACTACAGGACCGTCATTTGCAAAACATTGAGCCTAAACCCTCAGCAACTAACCTGATTCCTGAAAATTGCTAATGAGCCTTAATCTTCTTTATATATAATAGTTATATTAAAATGATATAATAGCTCTTCTAACAATTGTATAGTAGGTGTTTAGAAAATGTCAAATATGCAAAGTATCCGCTACTAAAAATAAGATGGTCAAATCTAGAACAAGTGCATGCATAGAAATGAAAATTTACCAGCGGTGACCAGAGGTGAGCGGAAGGGGACAGAGGAGCTTTATCACTTAAGGAGTACAGACTTTCTGTTAATGGTGGTGGGGAAATTCAGAAACGGATCATGACAATAGTTGCCCATGGTTAACATGACTAATGTCAATGAATATCGTTTGAATGACAAAAGTTTGCTTTATATATTTTACCACGATAAAAACACATCTGGGGGAAAATTGTATAGAACCTATAAGGAAAATGTGATGGCAAAAGCTGGTACCTATCTGGACGGTTTTATTAAATTACCCATGCAGACTGAAAACCAAACTCAATGCCATTAGTCAATTCCAACTCACAGGACAGCGAGAGCTACACCCTTGGGTTTCCACGACTGTAAATCTTCCCGGGAACAGATAGTTTCATGTTTGTCCCGCTAAGTGGCTGATGGGTTTGACTTACTGGCCTTGCCAATAGCAACGCAACATGTAACCTGCAGTACTACCAGACCTCCTTACACATATACAAAGAGGGTTTTAAAATCCACAGAAAATAAAGTAAGTACAGTGTGGAACACAACTGGACTTGAAGTGTCATTTGTTGTTACTCTACTGTTGGAAGTCTTTAGAGGTTATAAATGGAAGTAAAAACTTTCAATGATTGAGGGTCCTACACACGTAAGCATCAGCCTGTGTTTTCTCCATTTGCCTTATCTCCTTGTATTCTTGCAAGAAGACTGTCTTATTTATTATACTGTGATATTTGAGGACAAAGAATAATATCTGCTGGCATGAAATTATAATTATATGACAATAATAATTTCGGTGATGGAAAAAAGAGATCTAAGACCGTGTAGCCAGAAAATCTAAGAGGGCCATAGCATTTAAAGGGTTATGGTTTATTATACTTAAGAACTGAAGGAACTGAAGGAAGAAGTTCAAGCTTAACAGAAAGCATTAGCCAAAAACAAGTTGCCAGGAATTGATGGTACGCATTAATATCTTTCCACAAACTGGCAGAGCATGGGAAGCATTCATTTGCCATTGTCAAGAAATTTGGAAGACAGTTACCTGTACAACTGACTGGATGAGGTCCATAATTCTGCTCATCCCAAAGAAAGGTGACTCAACAGAATATGGAAATCATCAAACAACACAATTAATGTCACGCGAAAGTGAAAGTTGGCTGAGGATAATTCAACTACAGTTGCACTAAAACAACATGCAGCTGTCAGAAATTCAAGCCAAATTTAGAAGCGGATGTGGCATGAGGAATATCACTGCTCACGTCAGATAGAGCTTGGCCGAAAGCAGAGATTACTAGAAAGATGGTTACATGTGTTATATTGACTGTGCAAAGGCATTTGACTGTGGATAGTAACAAATTATAAATAGCATTACAAAGAATGAGAATTCCAGAAGATGTAAGTATGCTCATGCAAAACCGATTCGTGGACCAAGAGATAGTTACTCTGACAAGAAGATGCTCAATGGTTTAAAATCAGAAAAAGGTTTGCATCAGGATTATATCCATCCATCATACTTCTCTAATCTATTTGATGAGCAAGTAACTCCAGAAGACAGACTACATAAAGAAGAAGGTGGCATCGGGAATGGAGAAGGCTTAGTGACAACCTGCCGTGTACGGAGGACACAACCTTGCTTGGTGAAAGGGAAGAGGATGTGACGCACTTACTTATGACGATCAGAGACTGAAACCTTCAGTACGGATTACACTCAATGTAAGGAAAACCCAAATCCTCACAACAGAATCAAAAGGCATCCTGATAGAGAAAAGATTGAAGTTGTTGGGTTCTTCATTTTGCCTGGATCCACCATTATGCTCGTGGCAGCAGCATTGAAAAATCCATGTATTGTGTTGGGCAAATCTCCTGCACAAACCCTCTTTAAATTGTTGAGCAGCAAGGGTCTCACGATGAAGATTAAGATGTGCCTGACTCAAGCCTTGGTATTTTCATTCGCTTCATATGCATCGAAAGTTGGACAATATAGATGGAACACCACGGGCGAATTAATGCATTTAAATTAGGTGTTGGCAATGAATATTGAAAGTACCATAGTACTTGTGATCAGAAGAACAAATAAATTTGTCTTGGAAGAAGTTCCACCAAAATGCTACTTAGGAGCAAGGATGGGGTTTCTTCATCTCACAGGTTTTAGACGTGTCTAAATCTCCTGATTTAGACAAATCAGGAGAGACCAGCCCCTGGAAAAGTACATCATGTTTGGTAATGTAGAGGGTCGGTGAAAAAGAGGAAGCCCCTCAATTA